AGGTTAGAAAGATGAAGCATGTGGATACTATTTTTTATAATTTAATAAAAGGGAATGTCATAGGCCAATCACATATTAGAGAGAGAAAAAGAGAGTTCTGAATATAATAATTCTTTTTCTCTTTCACTTTTATAATGAAAAAACTTAAATGTCTAATATATATATATATATATATATATATATATATATATATATATATTCCGATTGATCAATCAATTGATTCGAGATATTAACAAATATATGGTATGATAAAGAAGGTCACTTTGGATTCAAATTTATTTTAAATGAATATGAGATGAACTTATGTAATCGTTAGTTTTGCCTAAGTTATACAGTAATATTCATACATAAAATAAATTCATACATAAAGTAACAATTTGATAAGACCTTAAGGTTTTATCGTAGAAGAAATAGAAGAAAATGGATGATGACTTCGAGGGGATCAGCCCCCTGGGTTTAGTCAAAAGAATGAATAATATTTCGATGTCTGCCGAAAAGAAATTGTTAGACTTCGACTCTTAATAATAAATAAATATTAAATAAACTTCTATCCGATTCTAACTAAACTAAACAGACTCAATAAATATTATTCAAAAGCTCAGAAAATAAAAAGGATCCTAACAATTCCTCCGTCTTCCAATCAGCCTTGTTTCAAGGCTAAGCAACATCAAACTCGGGGAATTCCTTATTCAGTATTTCAGTCACAGGGTATTTACGACACATCACAACTCGTTAATCGAGTAAGTACGGTATCCACTTTTTGATAGTGTATGCAATAGGTTAGCCTTTTGGTATTGTAGTCTTCTGAAAAACCCTCTCCATCCGATGGCTAGTGGCAGTTGTGACTTTACTTCCACGTCTTCCCTTTAGGATCACCTGCTTTCCATTAATAAAAAACTTCATGAGTAGTTTAGAAAAATTTCACGAAACATCACCCAAGGTTGATAGTCATTCAATTCCGAGCACCACTTCAAAGTCTTCCAAGGGTAGCAAAAAGAAGTCCACAAGTAACTCTTGGCCTTGCAAAGTTAGTTTAATCTTTGAGCACTTGCTATTACAAGTTAAAATCCATCCATCGACGACCTTTACTTCGAATTTGTTATAGTCTTCAATGTGGTAGGCTAATCAATCTTCAACCTTACTATCCATAAAATTGTTAATGCTACCACTATCAATCAAAACTGTAATATATTGATGTTTCAAAGTTCCTCCAGCTTTCATAGTTTATGGGTTAGAGTAGTCGACTAATGCATGCACTGTATGCATGATAGGTCCAACATCGTCATCAGAATCTATACCTTCATGATCGGAGTCTACATTATTAGCTTCCGGTTCTGCCTCAATTGGTTCAATCATAAGAAGTTGCCCTTATTTACATCAGTGCTCCCTACTCCACTTTTTATCACAGTGCCATCACAAACCCTTCGTTGATCTTTCCTTGAGTTCTTCTCGGGTTAGTCCGGGTGTTAGGGGTGGGTGGCTTGCTGATCATCTATTTGTTGTCACTTCTATTCCGATAATTTTCCCTACTGATTTTTTCCTCATATAAACGTGCAAATGATATCGCAGTGATCATAATACGGGATTGACGAGCTTTGACTTCACACCGAATATATGGATTAAGTCATTCGATAAATGTGCCCACTAGTTGTCATTTAGACCAATCTCTAGCTTGATTTGATAATCTTTCAAACCTACTATGATATTCTAACACTGTAGAAGTCTGACGAATTTGGCGAGCTGTCCATCAACATTTTTGTATTCATATGGGCCAAAACAAATAAGAAGCCCTCTCTTAAATTGCTCCCATGAAGGAACTCTGTGGCAAGTTTTATACCAATCATACTACTAGACTGCATCTCTGTCTAGTTGGATTGAGGCTATTTCTACCTTGGATTCTTCTGGGGTCCTATGAAAGCGAAAAAAATTTTCTACCCTAGAGATCCAACTAGTCGGATCCTCATCTTCCCATCTTAGAAATTCTACTTTAATATGTGGGTAGTTTGTGTCACAATCTTGGGGCTCTTTTCTTATATCTCCAGATCTGTTCAACATAGAACTTGAGTTCCCATCTTAATAAAATTTGTTGAGGCTCTCTAGTAGGCTCTTTTTGAAATCATTAAGTGTTTCTTGCAACCGGTTCTCAATTCTGATTTCCAATGCTTCCATTTGTGCTTTCACTGAGTTATCAGTGGCCATTACGTAAGATTATAAATTTGTAATCCTCAGTTCTTGTTTCTGATGTCTGGTCAAGGGCACTAGCACTGTCGATGTGAAGTTGTCGAGGAAGCAGACGCCGAGAGCAGTGCTGCGATCGCTGTAAGGAGGAAGAGTTGCTTCCCTATTTTTGTCACTGCGATGAGGGAGGTGGCGTTGAAGCGGCCAGGGTTGAGAAGAGGAATTGATGGTGCGTGCGCCACTATTGATGGTGCGTGCGCTACTAGGGTTAAGGTAGGGCAGCGCATGGATGCGAGGAGGGAAGATCACTGGCCGAGGAGTAGTGGCAGTGGTGGAGAAGGAGGCAACGAGGGTTGCGATTGGGATGCGGGCGACAGTCATCGTTGGTTGGGGAGTTGCGGTGGTGGAGAGGGGAAATAGGGGTGCGTGGCTACCGGCCGGGAAACTGCAGTGGTCGAGCAGCTACTGCTGTGACCCAAGGGGAGGCAGCAAGGGTTGCGGTTGGGAGGGGGGCAACGGTCGTCGTTGGCTGGGAAGTTACAGCGGCGGTAGTAGCAACTAGCGCCAACTCTGTTTTTTTTTAGATGATGATAACTGTAGCGAGGACATTGAGGATCGCTGCTATGATACCAAATGATAAGACCCTAGGGTTTTATCGTAGAAGAAAGAGGGAAAAATAGGTGATCACTTCAAGGGGATCGACCTTGATCACTTTGAGGGGATTGACCTCCTAGGATTAGTCAAAAGACTGAATAATATTCCATTCTTTGTCGAAAAGAAATAGTTACATCACTATTTATAGAGTTCCACCTAAAATCCGTTGGGACTTGGACTCTTAATAATAAATAAATATTAAATAAATCTCTATCTGACTCTAACTGAACTGAACAGATCCAATAAACATTATTCAAAAGCTCAGAAAATAAAAATGATCATAATACAATCTATTATTAATTTATTTTATAAAAAAAATACTCATACTTTCGTATAGTATTATTTTATGACCAAAGAAAAGATGGATCGATGAAAATAAAACTCATAATCACACAAGTATATTTTATAGATATTTAAAATATAAAAATAGATTTCAAAAACTTTGAACAATTACGTAATAATAAAAGATAAAAAAATGTAAGGATAAGTTAGTTATTTTTATTAAGTTTACCATAGAATTTAACTTAGCGTAAGATGAAATTGCTAGTTGTGATTTTATTATCAAATAATAATAACTATGAATTAGGTTTTTTAAGAAACTTACATTTGCCAAAGTTGCTTATATAAGTATGTATGTATGTATATGAAAGTAGATGCATTCGCTCATTAAGCACAAGTAATAATATATAATGACTCAAAAACATATAATTTCTATCAGTAGTATTCAATCTCGAAGGTGTTATCAGTTGACATCAATCACGCATATTTCTTTATTGATGAGCTATTTTACCCTCGTTAATTAATAATTACAAACAATATATTTTTCAATGTAAAGAAGAGATGAGTGTCTATGTTAATGTTAATGAGATCTATTTTATGTTAATTTCTCCAAACCAATCTAAGAAATGAGTTGGCATCAACTATTCTATGAATATTTATGACAAATATTTATGACCCATATAAAAAAAAGAAAAGAAATTAGTTTTGGCACTTTTAATATGTCAATTATCTTCTCTCTCTCTCTCTCTCTCTCTCTCTAGACAACATTTGCAAGAAATAATAGACCAAAACCCAATGGAGGTCAAACTAGAATTTAATGTTGATAAGTGGTGGTTGGCATGTCGTTAAAATGGTAGTTGACATGTCCAAATATATGACACGTAAATGTCACATAAGCATTACGTGGACGCTACATAAATGTCAAAACATGAGATATTGATATGAATCGAAGGCTAAGATTCACGTCTTCAAATGTTAGGTGGTATCTACTCGGATTGGATGCGACGGAATTAAATTCTAAATTGACATTATCTTCTTCTTCTTCTTCTTCTTCTTCTTCTTCTTCTTCTTCTTCTTCTTCTTCTACTTTACTTGGCATTATATCTCCATTAGGTCCCATCAATGGCTAAAATATCATGAATTCAGTAAAAACAAACAAAAATTATAATGTTTCAATGATTTAAGATCACCAACATGGATTTTTTTTTCTTTCTATCTCAAATCTCAAGGGATATTTATAGAAGTCAAATAATTTTTATATCAAATCTTCTAAATTGACATATATATATTAATAATTTTCTAAAAAAATTCTTCTCAATTTTTTTGAAAAAAAATTATTTTTATATATTTCATTTGATACCTCTTAAGTTTTGTAATACACTGCCGTAATCCTCCACCAACTCGCATACACACCATATGAATCAATTAATACGGTGTACCCTTTAAATATTTTTTTGTTGTATTTTCAAACTTATATGTTTTGTTTGAGATAAAAAATATAATGTCAAATTATACCATAATAATTATATTTTTAAGGATATATCTTATGGATCGATCCATGAGAGTTAATAAATAGAAGGTCAAGTCAGAGTCATCACTGTATAAGAGGGTATCAAATGAAAAATATAAAAATGAAGAAAAAAAATTAAAAATTTATTTTCAAAACAAAGAATATATATATATATATATATATATATATATATATATATATATATATATATATTATAGAAATAATACTAATAATAATAATAATAATAATAATAATAATAATAATAATAATAATAATAATAAATAATTATAATTAATATGATTAGAAGTAGTAGTGGTAGTTTCAAACTAACCAATTTCCCCCTCCCGCTTCCAATTTGGAATTCCAAGTTTTACTCTCCTCCCTTTTTAAAGAACCTGAGGTCACAGAAAGCGACGAGGAACGACAAAGCCGACGAGCTTTCGAGTCGACGCCTGTGAGAGGGAGAGAAGACGACGTCGATCCGAGTACACCCTCCTCCTCCTCCTCAAATCCTATCCCCACACCCTGACTATCCCCACCCCGATTCCTTCCCCGAGGAGAGTAATGGCGGTCGCTTGCCAGGACGCCATCAAGCAGTTCTCCGCCCTCTTGGACAAAGGTCGGTCGCTTCGTGTCTCCGCGGTTCTTAGTTTTCGAAGGTCGGATTTTTATGCTGTTTTTATTTTTCCTTTTACTGATTTTTTTTTTGTTATTGGTTGAATTATTTGCAGTGGATGAGCAGCTGAAGGCCACATTTCAGGTACAACTCTCTTGGACTTTCGAGATCTGGATAGGCTTTGCGATGGTTGCTTTGAATTGTTGACTCCGTTAAAAGTCTGGTTTTTTTCTGTGGCAAAGTTGGGTCCTTGGGTTTGGTTGTGGGAGCTGCACTTGGGTCTTGATGTTCTGCATGAATGCATTCTTGAAACATGTCCTCTGGAATTTATAGGTTTGGTGACATCAATGTTATTATAGAAAGAAAGCATTTTGTACTATCTTTTGTGTTCTCTGCTAGAATTACCGTGTGTCTGGTGATATGCATAGTAAGTTGACCATTGGTTGGATCTTTGCAAGGACGATTTTCGAGTCTCTAAATTCATAGTTGGATAGGAATTTGTGCTTCCGATAACGAGTTTCGGTAAGTTTGTTATCCGAGGATGTTGGAAGGATGTATGCTCGGATTGGAAGGTTCATCAATTTACACCGAGATCTTAACAGCATGGTGGTTAATTTGGCTGTTTTGGTATGCACCTTGTTCTAGTTTAGTGTAAGCTCAATAATTTGTGTACTTTCATCTTAAATGGTTAGACCTTTTCACGAATCTTCTTTTGCAACATTTCGTGGATGAGCTTGAAATCAGACTCTGTTAACCCTAGGAAAAATTTTGTACCAAATGATGGTCAATCTAATTCATGAATTGGCATCATGGGACTGGATTTCTATTTCACTAAGCCTCTTAATATGCCAGGTGATTCTGAATTCATCAGTTAGATAAGAGTCTGAGACAATAGTTGGTGTCAGAAATTATCAGATCCCCTTCTTAGGAACAGTAGTCTAGGTTTCATGTGTTTCAACTTGTTGGCAGATTAGAGTTCATTTCTCCTAGTTTATATATAGAGCTACTATACTCTTCAAAAAGTCTTGTCTCTCTGCTATGGATTTTTTTTCAAAATTGATATAATTTGCATCTGTTTTTGTCAACTAGCTTTATGTATTTTCTTTGGGCTTTGGAATAGATTTAATCATATCTTTGTCTATTCTCCAAAAGTATTAAAAAATGTACGATCATTTGTTCTTTTGTCAAAAAAATAATGAATTAGTAGACTACCAATATTTGATAATCATATTATCTTCTTACCTTGTGCTTGATTTACTTGATAATTTTGTGCATACTTCATTAATTGGTAATTACAGTATTTTATTGAAACTGACAATATCTTTGACATCACTGTTTCTGAAATCAACCTATGCATTAAATGTTTGTGGAGTTGGTGAGGCAGCTCCAGCTGATGCTTAATTTTTTTTTCACTCTTTTTATTTCAACATTTTCTTCTCTCTAACCTTGAAACGCATCATACTCATGGCACTGGGAAAGGACCTGATATCTTGTTCATTAATTAGTTACTAAGATTCTCATTAATAAACAATGATGGACTTTAGATTGGAAACTAGTATCTTGCATTAGTATGCCTGGACGCCTGTGACTTAAAGAAAGAAGTGGTTGTGTGTTTTTTATAAGTCTAATAATCTATGTGGCAATGGAGTGGTATTCCACCCTTAAACTTCAAGTTTTGTGATTGTCTAGATGTATTGGTGCTGATGGGCTGCTTTTTGGTTTGGCTCTTTTAAAGCTTGAACCAACAAATATTATAAATTATTATTGTTTCATATGGAATTTCTCAAATTAGAGACAATTCCCTCTACTATTGATTAAGAAAAAACCTTCTTGAGTTGATTATGACCCCACAATAGAAGAGCCTTGTGCTCTGAGCCACCCAATTTTTTTAGCTCAATGGGTTGATTATATGGATGTTATATTCATATCTGCCTTGTTTCATCTGCAGAATATGCACCAGGGATATCCAACAGCAACCATGATGCGCTATCTTAAAGCTAGAGACTGGTGTGTTCCCAAAGCATACAAGATGGTTTGTCCATGTCACTTTCTTGTATTGCTCTTCCTTTTATGTTTATTCTTAAAAAAATATATAAACTGTCTTCATCACAGCTGGTGGATTGCTTAAATTGGAGGATACAAAACCACATTGATGATATCTTGAAAGTGAGTCCCCCTCTAACACAGAATTTGTTTCTTTGATTAAAAAATATTGTTTTATGATGAAACTTTAGCTAGTCTGTCAGCTATATCTAGCATGTAGTACTTCTTGGTTCTTTGATCTGTATTTTACATCCTATTTATTTTAAGCATTTGTTAATTACAATTCTGCTGTGAGTTAGCCACCAAGCTTTGATATTAAATCAGACACAAAAAATGTCTTTGAATCTGTAAAAGCAAAATTTACTTGGTTTTATTTAAAAGTTACAGAATGATATAAAGGAAAAGCGAAGTCGACAACAAAATGATGAACAACGATGTGTCTATGTATGCTTATTCACATAGATTTCAGAATGTAAACTCTGGAGTTGAAATGCTAGTCTTTGTTTGTTTCATTACAAAGAGAGACATAAAATTGTAAAGCTAATCATGTTATCAGGGATATAGCATGCTAACATTGCTGAATCTAAATATGCTATGTACTAACATGGATCTTTTCTGAATGTAGAAACCAATAATTCCAGCAGATTTATATAGAGCAGTCCGTGATTCGCAACTTGTAGGATTATCAGGATACTCTAAGGAGGTATTATCTTCTTTTATGTGTACTAACTTTAGTGTTGCTATTATCATGCTATTCTATGCCACATACTTTTTGGTCAACCCTTCCAACCCATGCACTTATTACTTAATTTGTGCATATAAGTAGCAATGTGCTGCAAACTGCAAATACAATATCTTTTCCATATTATACCTTCTCCTTCACCTTGTATTTAGATGAAGCAGTGGTAATTAAAATTGATTGTGGAGGTTGTCCTTTGCTTACATAATTATCTTTGTTTGGCAAATACAATATATTGACCGGTATATTTGGTTGTTGTGCCAGCTTATGCTTGGACATAGCCATGATCCTAATGCACGGTTGGTTAGCCGATTGCTCCAAGGACACTTGTAGACAGCAACATGCATTGGAATACAATTGAAAAGTAGAAATCTGCCAGGTCCCATATCAGTTGCATTGTATGCAACATTCAATTTGTGGAACAATACTTTAGAGAAATAATACTTGGGAATTTCCTGCCCTTGTTCATATCAAATTATACAGAGACTTTCCGACATTGTCTGTGGATAAATGTCGGATGTCCATATTTACTTTCCCTGCTTTACTCTTGCGGATCATATGAGCTAGAATGCTATGGAGACAATATATAAGATTGAGAAAGTGGCATCTTTATATATGAAATACAGTGTGTTTTTGACCAGCTGCTTAGGGTTGGCCAAATGGGTCCCTTCTTGCTATCAAGCTCTGTTGAGGGCAACATCATTAGTCAATCTAAGAACTGTCAAATTTCATTGGTTCTGTTTCTAATGAAGTATTATGTCTTCTTCTACCTCTCCTCATACCACAGATCTGAATCAACTAACCTTTTCAAATTGGTTAATTTATATGCCCATACATTAAAGTGTTGATGTCAAATGGAAATTAATTTTGTTTTACTGATTGTTTTCCAGAAATGCCTATGATACTTTTGTCTCATTTAGCTCCTACAAATAATAACCCATTTTTATAAAAGTAGACTATTGTTTGATAATGTAATTTAATACTTTTCTCTTTGTTACAGGGCCTTCCTGTTTTTGCAATAGGTGTTGGACTCAGCACATTAGACAAAGCATCGGTAACTTATGACAACTCTGTTCTTGTTGATATGCCATCATCTTTTTTCTGTTTAATCAACATTCTTGTGAAATAAATGATCTGATTTTCATGTCTTGATGCTCATTTTGTTTCTTGTGTTGATTTATGCTGATGCTTAGCCAGTTATAGAAACTTATGTGTTCTTTGATACTTGATGAACCTTATTATCTAGTCTTTGGGTTTTCACAGAGGCACAGATGCAAAAGAATGATAGATTGGTGGGGACAACTAAACTTTACATTGGATTTATTTTTTCTGATTTACCAGATGTACATGACTTATGCCTACCATGCTATATTGGAAAAATAGAAACAAAAAGATCCCTTAAACATCCACAGAAATCTCAGCATATTTTTTCAGATTACAGGTAAATTAAATAGGGACCTGAAAAAAGAAGATAAAAAATCATACTAAGAGATTTGTTGTCCTCTCCAGAAACAAATTGGAATATTTGCCAAAACCATTACTTCAACAACATTGAAAGCAAAAATGGTTCCTGTTGACATATTCAGATTTGGACACTAGTTCAACCAATCTTATGCACATGAAACCCCATGTGAATGTTTGTGCAGCATAATTCTATCAATCCATGTTTTAAATACAAGCAAGATTTTCTGCTTTTCCTTTGTGGCAATGCCAGCTAGCAAGTTGATAACAGCACTTGGTTAATCTTGCCGATGCATTTACCAGAGAATTTGCAGAATTCTATGGCAATTATTACGATCCCTTTGTCCAACATCTGATTAAATGTGTATTTTTTTCATGTTAGGTGAATCAATATGTGCAGTCACACATTCAAATTAATGAGTATCGAGATCGTGTGATATTGGTGAGTGTCAATGTCAATTCTTATAATGTACATTCTTCAAGCACATGCAAATTCTTATTTTTGTTTTCTTTTATTTGTTCCTCTGGTAGCCTAATGCAACAAAGAAGTACGGGCGGCATATTGGAAAATGTGTGAAAGTCTTGGATATGACTGGTCTGAAGCTTTCAGCATTGAGCCATATCAAGGTAAATTCTTTGCTTTTCAAGCTTAAATGTACTTAAATACTTAGAATTTTCCCCAACAAAATAACAAACTTTATTGTCGTTGTTCTCATAAACAGTTTTGTTTAAATTTTATCTGAAGCTTTCAAGTTTTACATAACAGAAAGTGTTACTGTCAATTTTTTACTTGACAGAAATCATATTTTAAGGTCTGTTTTTGGCGGTAAGAGAGGTTAAAGTAGTCTTGCAATCATTTTAAATATAGGTCCTAACTTGACTATGGCTTGACCTAATTATATGCTAACTAATCTAAAGCTCCCTTTTGTCTTTCGCCAAGAGAATGGCTTAGCAACATTCCGCTCGACTTTCCTTGTACAACATCTCATGAATAAAGTTGGTGCTTGAAAAATAAAATGCATAGCTTTAGCTGGTGCATTTTTATAATAAATACAAAATACTATCATCGATATTATTTGGAGATGGTTGCAAATTGCACAGGAAGGTGAAAAATAAAGATTAAAAAGTAGTTGGAAATTTTACAAACCAACCATGACGCAATGAAATCTGCAAAGTGAAAGTTTTGGGGTTAACTGGATATTAAATTTATTGGCTACTCATTGATGAGACTGTCTTATGCAATTTCACATTCATTTAGATTACGTACGACAAAAGAGTTTAATGTTGGTTGATTTCTTTAGATTATCTGCATCCCTTTTATCCAAATGTGGTAGTTGTTCTGAGACTTGCTGCTCAAATGAAAAATCGGTTGCTCATGGGGAGTGCTTAATTTTCTTTCTGGGAAGAATGGTCTTGAATGAATCAAATACACAGGCGGTCAGGTTTTTGGTACAACACATCACATCAGATGCTGCTAATCCATTCCTCATTATTTATGTAAAGAAAATGCTTGCTTATTTTACTAGATATCAGGTGATTATATAAATAGAAATCACAAGCTCTTTCTAACAGCTGGCACCAACATCATATTTAATTAAAAAAACAGAAAATTCAATAACTGCAATGTATTTGTGATCTTTGTTTCCTTTTTTTAAACTCTTCTTTCATGGTTTGTTTTTCGTGCATGAAAATGAAGTTTTTAGTCTTTCGTCCCAAGTCAAATGTTAATCTTTAAGTTTGCTGCATGTGTAATGCCTCTCACGCTAATACCTTTGATAGATATGTTGAAGTTCCTTCTTTGTTTTGTTTATGGGTGCAGTTAATGACCATCATAACAACTATTGATGACCTAAACTATCCGGAGAAGACACAAACGTATTATGTAGTTAACGCTCCATATGTATTCTCAGCATGTTGGAAGGTAGATGGTTACTTCCAGTTGGATATTTATTGTTATCAAGATGTTGATTCCTATCTCGAGTGGTGTGTGTTCTAATTATTATAAAAATGGTGCTTGGTGTGTCTTTGCTTTGCCAGGTTGTGAAGCCTCTTTTACAAGAAAGGACAAGAAGGAAAATACAAATACTGCAAGGTTGTGGCAGAGATGAGTTGTTGAAGGTGAGAAGCTCCAGTTGTTTTTCTAAGCAGCAGAAGAATCTTCAATCATTTAAACATGAGACTATATTACTGTGTAACAACTAGAATATTTGGTATGAACATATAACTGTACTTTCTCAAACATAGTATACATATCACAGAGACCAGTCTGTGGTTGCTTTTCCAATCTAACATTTACATCTTCCAATCTGTAAGAGTATTTAAGTTAGTGTCGCTTTTCCATTTTCATGAAGAATTAAGGAATTTGCATTCATTTTCACAGCTGATATGGTTTTATCTGTCTGGCGTTGCAGCTTTGCCTTGTTTAAATTTATTGTCTGATGATGTTTATATGTCATGAAAAGCTGTTCGATTTTCCATTCCAAGTTGAAAATTTAGCTTCATCAGATATTAAATTTGTAGAGGTCTTAGCAACAAATCATGATATTTTTCTTTCTAAGTTTGGCCATTCAATTTTTAGTTTGCAGGGGAGTATTTTTCAAGTAAATTATCTTCTTTTCTTCTTCGTTGCTTCTTTTTGGGATTGGATGGGATGTGGGTCTGACTTTGTTCTATGCTTGTGTCACAACTGTTTATCTCTTGGTTTTAACCTTTTAACCAAACATGCTTACAGTTTTTTGAGGTTCTAATCTGCAGATAATGGATTATGATTCTCTTCCCCACTTCTGCCGAAGAGAAAGGAATGGGTCATCTCGGATTTCGTCTGCTGGAGCTGATGACTGCTACTCCTTGGACCATCCTTTCCACCAACAGCTCTACAACTACATCAAGCAACAAGCATTAATCCAGGAATATGCCACACTCCGGAAGCAAGGACGCTTCAACATAGAAGTGCCTATAGCTGACACTGAGGGAACAAAAGTGGTCAAGAAATTAGAATCTGAACTCCATAAGGTCAGGGATCACAGTGGTCTCACTCACCCACTGAATTGTCTTCATATCAGTGGTGCCTAAAGATGCCACTGGTCTAGGCAACTACTTCAAGCTGCACTGCAGTTTTGTCCTGCTTTTGTATTGCAGCAGGTCATCCAATGCAGCAAATATGTGGCTTCAACAAAATGTGTTTTTTTTTTCCTTAAAAAGAGTATTTAAGGTTACAGTAGCAAGTCCTTGCAATTGTGGTGCAAGATTTGAGGAAGTTGAAGCGGGCAAAAGCCTTCTCCTTTAATCCAGTGGGATAGGACGAAGGGTTGAACTCATCTGATTCTATTCTCATAAAGCAGCATCAAGATCTTTGAGTATCAAAGGATGATACACTGTATATGTGGAATCTATTTGCATTCCAAATAAAGCAAATTGTTCCAATGAGATGAAAAGTAGACAATTATCATCTCATGTGTCGCATATGTATTTCTGAACAGAACTTTCACCTATGTATGATTTATTTCTCCCAGATCTACCAAATCCCTGGTGATCCTGCTGCTTTCAGATGTAATGCTTTCTCCTCCTCTTTTTTCCACTCTGTAGAGAATCCTGTAATAAATTAGATGTTTTGGATAATTCTGTTGATGCTAAGGTCAATCTTCTTTTGTCAATATCTTGATTTAAATAGAATAGGTAAATGGTAAATATGCTTGAAAATACTGCAAAAGCTTGCTTAAGACTTGTTATATTGATTTAAAGCTAGAAGAAGGGAATCATAATTCTCATTAACTCGATTCATGCGGTATTGATCCATCGGTTTTATTGGTTTGAATCATCAATCTAAAATGGCTTAATTACATATTATCCCTTATACTTTGATTTTATTAACTTCGTGATCTCGGTACATTAAAAAAAAATATTGGAATCCTTATAGTTTTAAAAATAAAATAAATAATTTTATTTATCTTAATATCGATAGTTGTATTGACGAAAAATACAAATCACATACTAGATCGATGTGAAAGTGATAGGCAAAATGATAATTTTAACATCCCTTTTGTTTCTAATGATTTTATCGAAAAAAATGTAATTTTAACATCTCACGTGTTTGGAAATATAAGCAATGCTAAAATTATTTTTTTATCCATTATTTTCGTATCAATTTAATACAGTATTATGTGTTATGTTTTCATTAATGCAGGACAAATAAGATCATTTGTTTCACTTTTAAAACTATTAGAAGTCCCGTATAAAATTTTGAAGTACAAGATTCATGATAGTAATAAAGTTTAAGTATAAGAGGTAATATATAATTAACTCATCCAAAATATATTCTAGTTAATGATAGTAGATTCATCAGAGTCCTATAAACCAATTCAAATATTAATTTATCTCTTTGTAATTATGATTAATTAATCTAATTATTTTTATTATTATTTATATTATTTGTATCCTTTGTTTTGTTATTAATAAGGTTTTAATTTTCGAGAAAAAAAAATCTTGCTCTAGAATATGATCATGTCATGGTAAAACTCTTTGGGCATATGATCACAACAAACTCCAATGACTATAAAATTTTCCCTCAATGTTTGGTTGACAGAAAACTAATAAAATTTGAGGAAAAAATTTTCTTTTTAGATTTTCAGGAAAAAAAACGCCTTTTAAAAGACAAAAGAAAGCCGCAATATCTATCCGCCGCCGACTTTCCTCTCGTATTTCCTATGTTATAGATTTCCGTCCCGCCGCCGCCGCCGACTTAAACGCCAGCCAAATCTACCTGCGGATCTACAGCAGCAAACTCCGAGCTCGGGATCGACGCGAAGGCAACCCATCGAAGCAAGCCGTAGATTGACCAACATGCTCAGTGCAAGCCATCAAGACAACACAAACACCACACCGTGAAGAGCGACTCTCCACGGCACACCCTTTCTCCCCATTGTCGACTATTTTAATGACCAATTTCGCTACAAGAACAAGAAAAACTTATCCATGCACGAGTCTCTCGTTGATGCATATTTTAGGCAGAATCGATGGAGGCAGAGAGTATGACCGAGAACTGTGTGTGCCAAAATACCAGTCAACTCTATCCCCTAAACCAATGGAAGCGAAAATTCCTTCGTTTGGACTCAGCTGTTAGCTCCAGTGCTCATTGGACGGACTCTATCACCCGAGAGAGAGAGAGAGAGAGATGGGGGGAGAAGGGGAGGGACGGCTGTTTGAGACCAGGGTGAGGAGGGGGAGAACATGGTACAAGCTGTATGCTGCGTCGGTGTGCGGTGGGGTGTGCTTGACATGGGTGTACAGAGCTACGAACATACCGGAGATCGGGGAGAAGGGGAGGTGGGCTTGGATGGGGATGCTGGTGGCCGAGCTTTGCTTTGGGTTCTACTGGGTTCTCACCCAATCATTCCGGTGGTGCCCTATCTACCACCGAACCTTCAAGGAGCGGCTCTCCCAAAAGTAGGGTTTTTCTCTTCTTGCTCTTTGTCTGATTTAGATTAGGCAGGAATACTTTCATTACTCAGTATTACTGCATCCACTTGATGTGTGTTAGTGCATATGTAGTGATTGCAACAACTTGTGCAGATTGAGGTAGGAACAAAGACATTTTTGATTCCTCAAGAGGAAAGGGTGCTTTTTCACTAAATTATTCTTGCTTATTAACCAGTACCAATGTTATCGACATGATGTGTGCTTATGTATATGCAGTTCTTGCTAGAATTTGTACAGGTTGCGCTAGAACAAAGACATTTTTTTATTCCTCAAGAGAAAAAGGGTTCTTATTGACTTATCTAATCTTGCTTATTAACCAGTGTTTATCCATGTGTAGTGATGTTAGAACTTGTGCAAGTTGAGCTAGAACAAAGACATTCTTCATTCCTCAAGAAAAAAAGGGTGTTTATTGACTTATCTAATCTTGCTTATTAACCAATATTAATGTAGCCACATCATGTGTGTTTATACATATGCAGTCACTAGAACTTGTTCGATTTGAGCTAGAACCAAAACAAAAGGGTGCTTATTTACTAACTTAATCTCTGAAAAATGTTCTTTTGTCTACTTTCTATATTGTTATCTTGGGATGAAGATGAAGCATAAGAACTTAAGTTTGGGTCATGAATCAATGAGATGTGCTTGATGTTTTCTTCTGATCCTGTATTCAACATCTGAAGCTAGATATGGGAATGAGCTGCCACCTGTGGACATATTTGTTTGCACTGCTGATCCTACCATCGAGCCACCAGTCCTGGTTATGAACACAGTACTCTCGGTGATGGCCTATGACTACCCACCAGAGAAGTTAAGCATCTATGTCTCGGATGATGGTGCCTCTGAGTTGACATTTTATGCACTGCTAGAAGCCACAGATTTTGTCAGACACTGGATTTCATTCTGTAAAAGGTTCAATGTGGAGCCCAGGTCCCCGGCAGCGTACTTCTCGTCACCCGAGCAACATGATCTTCGCTATGCCAGTGAGTTGGATCGCATCAAGGTAATTTGTAATTCTCCTTCCCTTTTCATGTTGAATTAAATGATCAAGAAGCACAACTCAGCAAGAAATATTTTGATATCATCTATGAGTTCCAAGGGACCATGCTATTGGACAAGATTTGATCGAAAACTCGAGGAGGAAATGTTTGTCATTTATTTTTGTGTAAAAGGTCAAGCTTCTCTGGAACTTCATAATTCCATCACGTCAATTAATGCTAAGAAAGCTGATGGAATAAACATGGTTCTTTTGGTGAGAAATTACTGAAATCAACTTTCTCTGTTGTGGTCAGATGATAAGAGAGATCATTTGATGCAATGCGGTGCTACCATCTTAGATAGAAGAGTGTGACAGTTTTGCTTGTGCTATGAATTTACTATAAATCGTCATATGCCTATGCTATCACAAAATCGATTTGACTTTGCTGTTGTTTTCTTTGAATTAGGAGATGTACTATGCGATGGAGAACCGGATTAAAGTTGCAACCGATTTCGGTCGGGTTGCAAGCAGTGTTAACAAGCAACACAAGGGCTTTTCTGAATGGAATTCACAAATTACACCTGGAAATCACCAGGCTATAGTGCAGGTGGCACATTTTTCCCTGATAAATGACTAAAGAATATTTATTCACGATTCCAAGACCATAGTATCATGCAACATATTCTTTCTTGATGCAAATTCTAAGAAGTTCCATGTTCGATTTTTTACTGAGTTGCAGGTAGCCATTTATCAGTTTGAACAAGTAGAGTCCCATGCTGAATTAGTTTTTTTTCTTTTCTTTTCTTTTCTTTTTGTTTTTTGTTCTTGAATAAGGATGGTAACTATATTCCATGCTGGTATCCTGGAGGATAAAAATCTTCATGAGTTGGAATTAAGAACTTGATAAATTTCAACATGGCTTTTATACTCTTACTAGATGTTAAAGATGAACAAGGACTTTTTGTGGAGGGCAGCAAAATTTATGTGTTAGCTTAAAGCTCTTCTCTGCACGGGCCTTTACATTTTTTACTTACTGCTGACATTTTTAAAATTTGTTCTTCAGATATTAATTGATGGAAGGGACCAGAATGCTATAGATATCGAAGGAAATACCCTACCAACACTTGTATATTTATCTCGAGAAAAAAGGCCTCGGTATCCTCATAATTTCAAAGCTGGAGCACTAAATGCATTGGTAATTTATGATATTTATCCAACCATTTCATGTTCATATCTGCATGTACAAGTACACACCTTAATTGTTATAGTGCAATGTTGGATGCTTATTTTTATTCTTTTTCCTTTTGGATAAGAAAGTACATAGGAGAATTAGCAGATCTGTTCTACCAAAAAAGGGAAATGGCCGGGGTTATGAACTTAGAATCATGGAATCAACTCAATCATCAGGTTATAAGTTCATTCCACATTGCACCAGACTGGAAATCGGTAGCTACTTCTGGCAGTTAAGAGTTCAAAGATCACCAATATGAAATGTAGCTGCTTGAAATTACAGTTGTTCATGGCAGTTCCTTGGTGATGTTACTGTTCAGTTCTGTCATCTGTCACAGAAATGAATCCAGTTAAGTGTTGTTGTCGAGAAACTATGAAGTGGACATTAGAAGCAAGCAAAAATTGAGAAGCATATTCTACTAGTTTGATGATATGTTATTTTATTATAATTTCTTTTAATTTATGATCTGATGTGTTCTCTTAACATGTTCAATTATCTAACATAAGAAAAAGGTATACATGAATATTCTTAATGTTACCCTAATCTTGTGCAGATAAGAGTATCCTCCGAGATAAGCAACAGCCCTGTTATTCTCAATGTGGACTGTGATATGTACTCCAACGGTTCAGAATCAGTGAAGAATGCAATGTGTTTCTTCCTGGATGAAGAAAGCGGTCAGCAAATTGGGTATGTGCAGTTTCCACAGAACTTCAACAATCTTGACAAGAACAACATCTATGGTGATTATATATCAATTGTAAATGAGGTACCGGCACGAGAAACACAAATTATTCACTAAATTTTACACAACTTCTTTTTTTTTCTCCTTTTGAATTATTAACTTCTAATTCAAAGAATAATTTCTTTAGCTATAGTTCAATTTTCGACAACTTTTTGGTTAAAACAAAACAAAAATTTTCTGGGAAATGCCCATGTAAAGATAGTTACATAATATCATTTCTCGACATTTGTCTTTCTGACCTACATGCTTAAAATGTTTTCCAATGAAGGTGGAAATGCCAGGTCTGGGGGATTCCATATATCTTGGCACAGGATGCTTCCACAGAAGAGAAAGTTTGTGTGGCTGCAAGTATAGCGAGCACCGTAGGATGCTCAGGGATATGTGTAACCAAGTAAAAATGAGAAAACCAGAAGAAAGCACAAGCTTTTTAGAAGAGAGAGCAAAGGATCTTGCATCATGTACCTATGAGCAGAACACTAACTGGGGCAAAGATGTAATCTCTCCTTCTCTCACACTCCCACTCTCTCTAATACACACAAACACAGTTATGGTGATGGTCTCTCATCTTGCAGATTGGTATCAAGTATGGGTGCTTGGTGGAGGATGTGGTAACTGGCTTGTCAATCCAAATGAACGGATGGAGATCAATTTACTACAATCCTTCAAGGAAAGGCTTCTTAGGCATATCTCCTACTACACTGTCACAGCTATTGGTGCAACACAAGCGATGGTCTGAAGGGCTCTTCCAAACCTTCCTCTCGAAATATTGTCCTTTTCTCTATGGCTATGGAAAGATAGAGTTAAGGCTTCAGATGTCTTATGCTACATACATGTTATGGGCTCCTATGTCGTTGCCAACTCTATATTATGTTATTATCCCTTCCCTTTGCCTTCTCAAAGGCATTCCTTTGTACCCAAGAGTAAGTACTCCTTTCCACTTTCTCAAGCTTAGCTCTTACAGATTTCAAGTTCATCTACTCTGATGACTTAGTCTAGTCTTGTTGGCATCATTTAGCTCATTCTTAATTCACATTTAAGAGAGGAACTGCTAAGTTAACATGAGTAGTTTTGGGCTATAGACTTAGCTACTGAATTAGCATACGCAAAGTCGATTCAGATCTCTTTTTCTTCAGTTTCTTGCTATTACTCCAAAGACATTAGCTGTTGCTATTCATATCTTACATTTTTCTTTTTCATTGTTGGGACCTTTAATCTTTTAAATATGAAATTCATGAGATGTTTGTTTACATACATATACAACAAAAAAATAGTCACAGGTGAAGAATAATGGTCAGAATCCTACTCAAGGCAGATTTTCCAATTTGAGAAAATGTATCCTACATGTCAGTTACATACTCATTCCCTGTTTTAACTAAATATAAAACAAAACAAGGCATCTGAAACTTATAGTTGTAGATCTAATCTCCAATAGACCAGACCTTTTCAATGTCACACTATAGTTGCATAGAAAACACTTAAACCTTCATGCTTTACTGCTGGAGGCTAGAATTTGACTGTGACAAGTTTCTGTGAGCAGATCTCAAGTTCTTGGTTCCCGGTCTTTGTGTATGTGATCATCGGTACACAAGCATACAGCTTAGGAGAGGCCCTTTGGTGTCAGCAGTCATTCCGAAGCTGGTGGAACATGCAAAGAATGAGATTAATGAGAAGAACTTGCTCATACTTCTTCAGCTTATTAGACACTACAATGCAATCACTAGGACTTGGCAAGTCCAGTTTTGATATAACTGCTAAGATTGCTGATCATGAGGCATTGGAGAGACTGAAGAAAGGGGTCATGGAGTTTGGATCATCTTCTCCAATGTTCTCGGTGTTGGCCGCGATAGCCATGCTTAACCTGCTCTGTTTGGTGGCTAGTGTGATAATGGCTGTGGTGAGGGAGGGATTTAAAGATCAAATGGCTCTTCAGTTTCTTCTTTGTGGGATGTTGGTAATGCTCAACTTGCCAATCTACCATGGGATGTTCCTAAGGAAAGATAGAGGCAGACTTCCAACATTTTTAGCACTTGAATCATGTCTCATTGCTGCATTGGCTTGTCTCCTTTCATTGTACTAGAATTCAAACTTGTGATGAACAAGTTCTTGCTATTATTAACTGGTTCAGTGGTTATACTGCAAGTTCATCAGAGAAGCAATTAAGAGTTCTGATGTTAGAACCATTTACTAATGGATCATTTGTTAATGGTGTTAGCTGCACTGTTATTTTACTACTGTTTTTAAATTACCAGTCAGTATTTACTGGTCTAAATAATGTCTAATTAGTGACATTGAGTATTATTATTATTTGGATTATAACGAATTTGTATTGGATAGGGGATTTAAAATCTTGATCTGATCTATCAGGTAATGACGAATTAATTACCCACAAAGGCATGAGTTTTCGTATTTGGCCAATACATACTCCACCTAAATATGAAAATAACATATTCTGAAGATATATGTGCATATATGCAATTCTTCCATTGGGCTATTAAATTTTGAAGAATTAGGATTTGAAAGACAATTATTTTGTGACTTGTCATCAACTTGGGTTCTGATAACTTTTTGTTGGGGGGGTGGATAAAGAACAACAGTTTATATGTTATATAACAAAGTCACAGAGTACAAAACTCATTAGAAACTTCAGACTCCATCCCCCAAAGATCTCAATCAGCAACCTTATTGGATTTTCTATACATAGGCTCATAAGAACATTCAACAAAAGTATTCGTCAACTGTAAACAATTCATAAGGATAGTTAAAAGATTCCACAATCAACCCTAACTTTTATCTAAGAGAGTAGTCAAGATGTTGATATCCATCTCTACCGGCAAAGTCATCTGAGGTTGGTATACTCGAGCTAATCATCTTTTAAGGCTGCAGCTTCCACCATTGCGATCATCTCGTATTCTCCAATCGAACTTCCTGCAAACACAGTGATTATTAGGTCTTCTAATAACAAACGTTGAACATTCATTCTCCTATTAGCTAGTCCAAGATTTAGTACCAAGTTTAAATCAATTCAGAAGGCAAATATTCTCATTTTATCTCGATGTCCGTACAATTATAGCTCCAAGTCTAAAGTAGACAAGGTAGAGGATAGGTCTTGATGTCAGAATAATGTTGCTTATAATTGAGACACCGACACAACTCCTTTTCTCACAAAGGTAAGAGTATGTACATTAATCCTTTCCAAACCCTACAAGACCGAGTCATGTGTCTAAGCCACACCTCTAGATGAAAGTCTTGATAATTTCCTTAAATACTAAACAAGGAGTAGAAAGAAGAAACAGACATCTACAAAATACAATTCCTAGGTGGAGTCATGAATCTCTCTCTCCTTCGTACATATGTATCAAGATAAAGATGAAAGTAGATGCACATAGCCTAGATCAAGACTATAAATAGCATGATTGTAAATCAGCTGTTAGTGATTAGACTGTTTATGATACATAATAAATTAGGTGTATCGGTATGATCACTTTCACACCTTGAAATTTCTGAGGAAGAGCAGCATGTTCCATTTGTTCGCCCCCCATTGAATGGGCAACACCTACATAAGGAATCACGTATAAGGATAGATAAGGCAAGTGAAATTTCTCATAATCCAAGAATTCTTGAGCAAAATTTTGGTTTCAGAATTTAATGAAAGCTCAAAAGTCAGTGAGGTCATACATTTACCAAAACTTTGCATAAGAGACAACCTCAAACAAATGCTTTGCTTGCATCATGCAACTTGAGGCATGCATTTCTTTTGTGAGGACACAAGACCGACAGGAAAATTCACACCTCCATAAGCATCATAACTCTTCTGCTATTACACCACTTATAAACCAGTGATGGATCAATGATAAAAACTGCAGGCAATGAAGCTGAGTTATAAACAGGCTGAAAACCTGTGTCCTCAGTAGGTGCCATAGTTCACCTGAAATTATTGTTCAAAGAAGTCCTAAATTACACAATGTGACAAACAAGACAACTTGACATAAAATGGTACATGATTTTGAAGAATAGAGAAAAGCAAAAAAAGTGACTATGGATATAATTAACACGAGGCATAATTCCAGCTTAAAGCATTGAGATATTATGCTACAGTTTCATTGATTTTGGACTTGGTTCACGGTCATATAAATTGGACATCAAATAAGAAAAACATCTAATTGAGATGAATTTGCTTGCAGTTACAACTGCTAAAACCATGCCTGTCTACAGAATTCCATGTCATCTTAGCACAAGCATCATGCTATAGGTATGAGTTTACCTAGATTCATTTGCCACACTTACCAATGTTGATCGATGTATACACTGCTACCATGTTATCAATGTAGGTGGAACATGGAAAAACTAAAAGCCGGTAAAATATGATTAGTTGCGACTTAACCATCAGCTAAAAATCAACATTAGGATTGCAGAATTGAAAATTTTAATTATCAATCATGTATAACACAAGAAATATCATCAGTTGGGATATGAGGTTGACCGTCATTTAAAGCCAAGCGTAGTGAAAAGCAACATTAGTTTAGTATTATGCTTTTTTGCATGTCATAATATGCTGATCCATGTCAAAAAAAGGCACTAGTACCAGAATAAAATTAAATAATGAATCAAAGCATATGATAACGAACATATCTATTCATTTAGAGAGAAAAATCACTCCTTGACTAGTCTGATATTATTAAGTTTCATTGTTACCTTGACATTGTTTAGTTTCCTCTAGACAGACCATAAAGTTTCCTTTACGCATTCACAGTTCGAAAGAACTCCCAAAAGAATACAAAATTATATCATTGTTGCTTTAGGTTGAAATTGGTCATCACATCTGATAGAATAATTTGTTTTGCCCACACAATTGGCACCATGAGTAAATTTTCCCATGTTGCCAAACTGGAATTTCATTTTTCAGAATATGTGAAGGATTTGACAAAAAAGCAAAACACCACTAGAAGATGCTTGTTTTAGAGATTGATGTGCTGGTCACTAACAATTAAAAAGAAATCAAAATGTATTCAAATGAGGCGCATAATTTAATTCTTAAAGCAATTAAGTTTTAGGTTTCACCCCAACCATTTTGTATTAAAAAGAAAGCCACCATTTTTATTCTAACATATACATATCCAGTCATATTTCTGACTCATCGGCAGTCTGAATATCATCCAAACATGCTGCATTGTTTCAGAAACTTCGAACTTGAACTAGTAAAGAAGATGCTATCAAATTGATTTATTCAAGATAAGAGTTCTGTTGTCTGCCAAAAAAACAATGGTTGCTCTCTTTGGAAATCATAAATATTGTCATAACCCGACCAAAAAGGCCCATTGGCCCTTAATTCTGTTTACTGGTAGTGGAGCCCATCTAACCTTAAATACCATCACAACCATCCTCTCACTTCTGATACACGACTAATTGGACTACAATTTCTTTCACCCAAATTTGATGCCATTATTAGAGCCTGGCACATAGTGCAGAATCGTTCCTACTAAATGACATGAGGCCTATGACCCAGTGATGACCCGTACAATGACGCATCTCTCACACCATCCACAGGTACTGCTTTTATACTTCAGCCCACTTGCCACACGTCTAGTAGTAGCTCCAATCTGATACCAATTATCGCTACCGTAAATCGTCCCAGTAATTTGGGTATAGGAGCCTTTGACCACATATCCAAAATGCTTAAGTTTGGTTTATTAGTCTCCTATATTAATACAACTCTCCTCCCACATATGATGCATAGCTAATAGAACTATCATAAAAATATTTTTAATTCTTAATTGGCTTTCATTGCAATTATACAGAATTGTACTTCACGTAAACAGGATTCCAAGTTACTTTCATCACAAAATTCCATGTACAATGATCCTCTGCTTTCTATTATCTCTGCCAATCAAGAAGAAAGCATTATCTTCTTTACTTCTCTTTCTGCCTTCATGTGAAGCCTAAATTAGTGCCAGACAGAACTTTGTTTGTTTACTCAAGTCAACCATGACCTACTATCTACTTGGCACATTTTCCTTCTTGCTATACTGGATCAATATATATTATACATAATTGATAGACTCAACGGAACACCTTTTTTTTCTCAGTTTCCATTTGTAGCTGTAAATTGTCATACAATGTTTATCACAAATAAAGACAGTCATTTTCAGTAAATGCTTCAGACTTAAATTGTTTTTACTACTAAAAAATCACTTCTTCGATGAAAATAATTGTACCATGCTGTGGTTAGCTATAGTGGTTTGACCATGAAGTAGTTGATTAAGTAAACCTTTGCATGATATTTCCATATAGTTGCTGCATTACATTACTTGTAGATTGTGTAATCTAAATTGCCTTTGGTTTCTATCCTAAGACAAACATATTAAAACCAAGTAAAAAAGCAGTGGCATTCCCTAGTGGCAGCTAAGAAACAATATATTTTCCCATTTTCTTTGTCCCAGTCAACAAGAGACCTAATCTATAGACCAATTAAATGTCAACTAAAAATGCACAATCAAGACACTCATGGAGTTCGCCAAGAAACTCATTGTTGGCAGTTGGCACAATATAACAACTTCGACTTACTAATATAGGATTCTCATTCATCACATTCTTTCATAATCCAGCATCTTTTTTAAGAAGTCAGATAAAGGGATGAAATATTTTACCACGATTTGGAGTCATAAAAAGATGTCTTTGCATGACCGAATCCACAAAAAGATGTTCATCCATCTTCTGTATCCAACAATCATGGAAATATGTCGCCGAAGAACTACCATCGTCACAGAATCTAGTAACAAAGTGTAAAAACATGTTAGCTAATATGCAATGAGCACAATAGGGAGCATAGGGAAACTTAGAACTTTATATTAACCATAGTAATATATGATTATGACTTTCCTTGAGAATACAATGTACAAGGCCTACAGGCAACATCTTTCAGCTCATACTTGTCCTCTCAGAACTCCTATTGGTAAATTTACAATCAGCTGGAGAAAAATCCATGCTAGAGAAAATAGAAGTGAAAATTTTAGACAAGTAAACTTAACCAAACAACAAATAAATTAAGAAACAAGAACAATCTTATCATACTTTGCAACTTTGGTACTCAATAAACTGCCAGCCAACAGCAAGAAACCACCAGAAGTAGATTGTCCATTTAAGTGGATAATCTGCAACAGAAATTTTCAATGCAACATGGTTTAACACAAGGCAAAGGTACATCAGTCTAGGCATGTCTAGTGAGAAGAGAGAGAGAGAGAGAGAGAGAGAGAGAGAGAGAGGAGAGAGAGAGAGAGAGAACAGATTTAAATATGCGTTGTGCATTTGAAGATAAGAAAGAGATCTTTCATGTTAACCAGACAATCACCATTCCAAAAGTTCGGCAATGAAAAGAATGACAAAAAGGGGCAAAATCCAAGTTCTCAGTTTTAAATATTACAAACCTGTTCAACATCCTTCTGTCCAGGAAGCATTGCCTTGGCACAACGATCACTAAAGTTCTGTTGCAACATGAAAGGCAGCTTGAAGCCCTGAACCATGTACTAAGAGAACTCCAGAAAGAATGTTATTTCAAGATAGTTCTCCTGCAATGCCTTAATTCATTTAACCTTCTCACAGCATTTGCCAAACCCTCACAAATAGTTTTGGAATTTCCTTGTGAAGAAATTAGACCTCTAGTTTCTATATCTTTCAAAAGTATGTCTGCTTCAAAAATCTTATGTTCCTTGTGGACAGCATCAATGAGCATAGTATATGTTGTGATATTAGGCCAGAGGCCCTTCTGTTTTATCTCCTCATACAGTCGCCAAGCATCAGAAAGACAACCTATGCTGCAAAATCCTGAAATAAGTACATTATATGTAATAATATCCAGTTTTAAGCCACAATTTTCCATGACATCCTTCAAATACAAAGCATCAGCAAGCATAGCTTCTTTGCAAAGCCCATGCATAAGAGTGGTAAATGTTGCAGTTGTTGGCACTCCACCTTTGCGAAGCATGTGACTGAAAACAAGCATTGCTTCTCCAAGTTTTCCACACTTACAAAGGCCCCTTACAATAGTGCTCTCAGCAACTTCAGCAGGCACTATACCCAGGGCTTCCATCTCATCCCTCAGCCTAAATGCCCCCCATGTATCGCCAACCCTGCATTTTCCATTGATTAGTGCAATATAATGTGTGTGCTTTATACGGACTCTTTTCTCCAACATTTCATGCAATACCATATAGGACTTCTGAAAACAACCTTTTCTGTTTAGTCCACTTATAATCGCATCATAGGTCTCGGCACTTGGTGACATCTGCAACCTTGTCATACAATCCACAAGTTTGAAAGCATCACTCATCTGACTTTTGTCAGAATACTTAGTGATAAGCATATTAAAAGTCAAGTCATCAGGAGTAATACCCTCCAATCTTAACTTTTCCAAAAATTTTGCTCCAATATCAATCATACCAGACTCACAAAGCCCAGAAATTAGTGAATGATATGTTAAGTTGTCTGGCCTGAAACCTTTTTGAACCATTGTTTTGTAAAGTCTAAATGATCTTAATAGCTGTTTCTTTCTGATATATCCATGCATTAGAATGTTATATGTCACAAGGTTTGGAAGTAAACACCTTTTCTGCATAAAATGAACCAAATTATCCACATGCAGCATCAGCCCTGCTCTTGAGTAACCGTCAAGCATTGCATTAAAAGCAACAATATCAGGATCTAGACTATTTTTATTCATCATTTCATCAAAGATGTATGAAGCAGCCTTTAATTGGCCTTCTTTTACTAAACCATTAACTAAACATGTATAAGCAACATGGTCTGGACAAAAATTTGTATTACTCAACCTTTCAAATAGGATAACTGCAGGAACAATCTTCTTCTTACGGCAAAAGCCACTTAGAAGAATTGTGTATGTATAACTATCAGGCATTATGTTTTGCTGAATCATTTTCTCGCAAAAGATCAATGCATCATGTAAGTTTCCAGATTTACATATTTCTAGAAGTAAAATATTATAAGTATGAAGATCAACAGCAAAAGGAATATCAAGAATTCGAGTAAAAAACTTCTTTGCCTCATGTAAGTTTCCTCCCCTGCACAACCCTTTAAGTAAACTCCCAAAAGTGATATGACTAGGTCGCTGACCTTGTTTCACCATGTCATCAAAAACAGAAAATGCTCCTAGAGCATCACCTTTATTTCCATAACCATTTATAAGAAGATTGAAACTAGTACAGTCAGGATATAGATTCATTCTGGTCATGTGTTGCATAAACTGCTCTGCATCCCCAACCTTCCCCCTTCGGCAAAGAGCAGAAATCAATGTGTTACAAGTGATTAAATTGGCTTCTTGGCCCAAACGATATATATCAGCATACAAGTTCATTGCCTCTGTGATATCTCCCCATTTACAATAGTGATGAATGACTGTTTCATAAAATATGACATTTGGAAGAACACCAGTTTTGTGCATCTTCGATAGAATCTGTTTGATTTGATCTTTTTTGCCCATTTTGCACAAACCATTAACAAGTGCAGAATATGTAATGACATCTGGAGAAACCCCAGCTTCAAGCATGCTGTTAAGTAACTGCAGGGCTTCACTGAGCTTGCCCTCTCTGCAAAGCCCATCGATCAAGATTGTGTACATTATACAGTTGAGAGTAATACCTTCAGATCTCATCTTTTCAAGAATATTTACAGCAGCATCCATCTTTGAAGCCTTGCAATATCCATTCAGAAGAGCACCATAGGTGATCTCATTAGGAGTTACTCCAGCAGCTTCCATTTCATCTAAAATCCTCATAGATTCATGGATTTTTCCAATCCGACAGTACCCATCAATCAAAGTATTGTAAGTAATAGCACTTGGTTTCATATTAGACTTCGACATTTCTTTAAAGATACAATTAGCAATAATAATCTTATGTTCCTTACAGAATCCATTGATCAGAGTGTTATATGTGCTTTCAGTGGGAGATAATTTTCTCTCCCTCATTCGTTTTAATAACAAATAAGCTCTAGCACTCCTATTTTCTTTACATAGGTTGTTAATGATCACATTATATGTGTACACATCTGCCTCAATACCCTTCCTGTCCATGCAAGCTAATATTTTAAGAGCAGCCTTGAACCTTCCCTTCTTACAAAACCAATATAGCAGTGTGTTATAGGTAACAATCTTTGGTATAACCCCAGCTTCTTCCATCTTATTAAAAATATAATTAGCCTTTCCAAGCTTCCCAGCTAAGCAAAGCGAGTTCAGCACTATGTTATATGAGCTCACATCTGGGCAGTTCCTTCCGGTCAGCATACATTTGAAGAATAATAAAGCAGAGGGCTGTCCCTCCACCCTTGCAAGAGCAACAAGTATAGCATTGCATGTATAAATAGAGACCGTAAATCCATGGGAATTGACCAACTGAAAAGTTTTCTTAGCATTCTTGAGCATCCCTTCTTCAATATAAAATTTAATCAAAATGTCAAAAACCAATGCGTTGGACTTGCGACGAGGATAGGTGTCCATGAGACAATGAATAAGGGAGTGATAGGCAACATCCCTCTGGGAAAGATGTTTCAGTATTGATTTAGCAGGACCATACATCCGGGCCCGAACAAGTATATGGATAGTGATACAGAACAATTGGGTCATCCTATTGAAACCTGGCTGCCGGATGATCCACTTGAGGAACTTCAATGCTAGCTTCCCATGAACCTTCCTAAGTTTCGCTAGCTTGTAGTTCATATGGTTCAGGGATTCCCAGCGGTGCATTGTCTGCGTGTTGAACGTACTATTCTCGATATTAAGTGATGATCCAATAACTATCAAATTTAGAAAAAGAAAAAACTGCAGGTAAGAGGAATACTTGTGAACACCTCTCATACAAAATTACATAACAATATCCAGTACTTCTAGACAATAAAAAGAACATTTTTTTAAAGAAGCAAAGCTAACTTTAGCACACCTTATTTACTAAATGTACATACTTTAGCAGAATAGCTACAAGGTAATCAAGAAAACTCAGATAAAAACCAGAGCGAAACAGTAGTTACTTTTTGAATCAGCCAATCCAAAAAGGGAAACGAAAAAGAAGGGAGAAAATGAAGAGAGAAGGAAAACATGGAGTGGAACTACAGCGACAAGCAAGAAAAGAATTCTTCAAGACAAATGAGTAATGCAGAAGATGGTGTCATCGAAAAAAACAAACAAGAGACCCATAAAAGCAACAATAGAAATAAAAAAACAATCATAACACTCAAGCAAATAGAAAAACAAGCAAAGAGGACAGAAAATAGAGAACTCTTACAAAAAGAACCAATCTTTCACGATGTATAGGCGTAAGCACAAATCGTCAAAGCCAAGAAAATAGGAGGAGAAATAAAGCGAGCAAACAAAGGCAGAAATCCTACAAAACAAAAAACAACCTTTCGTGATATTTTGATTGGAGCGGGGGCGGCGGAAGCGTATCGGCGGTGGACTGCCTCAGTCGTTCCGAGTTACTGCCGTCGGCCCACCGCGCCGCCGCCAAACCCTACGAACAAGCCGTCCAATTTGAGATTTTGCGGCAGAAAAAATACAACTTTCTTGCGAAACAACCATATACTCAAGCAAATAGAAGAAGAAAGAAAGAGGGCAAGACAAAGGCAGAAATCCCACAAAAAAAAAAAAACAGAACAAAAAACAATCTTTCACGATGTTTTGCTATGGCAACGGGTGGCACAAGCGTACCGGGGCCGGATTTTCTCAGTCGTTCGGAGTTCCTGCCATCGGTCCACCGCGCCGCCGCCAAATCCTCCGAACAAGCCGTCGAATTTGAGATTTTGCGGCGGAAAGAAGAGAACTTTCTTGCTGCTGCTGTGGTCGCCCACCGAGGTAGAAGCCGTCGCATTGGGTCCGCGAGACTCGCTCTCGTTGCGTAGTCTTCGATCCCACATAATTTAACTGATATGTGATATTAGGTAAGTCCGTCGTACTTCACTATCAATTAATATGACGATTGAACTAAATTTTAGGTCAAATATTTTGTAGGTTAAGATTTCTAACTCTTAAGTTAAGCTAAATGAGTGAAGTATAACACTATTTCTATTCTTTTGTATAATACTATCGATCAATTTTACCTAAAATTATATTAGTATCCTCTAATATTGCACGAATCTTGGCATGATAGACAATAAATTGTGCAAATCTTGATGCATTCGGATAGCACCTATATATGTGAATGGCACCCATGTCATCGTCAACCCATTTCATGCCTATTTTTGTGCCATAGGAAGACAAATATAGTGGAGTCCTCCCTATTGTGTGGATCCGACATGTTTTGAAGTCCAATTAGAATACCTCTCATTCATCTTTCAAATGAGTAATAAACGAAAAATTAGATATCAGTCAAGTTTCAAATAAATTATAATATTTTATTAATTTGATACTATTAAAAAAAATTAATCAACCCAATATAATTCAAATCTAAGGATATAGGAGTATGTGTGACGATGATCGAGGAGGCTTCAAGATGTCTCGAAGTGCCAAGCTCTCGAGACCTCATCTACACTAAAATCGACGTCGAAGAAAATTTTTCGGCTCAATCTTTTCGACATTCAAGCTAGTGATTCATATCATTTAGTAGATATATATTTTTCTTGGAAAGTGAATCCCTTGACATAATACCAAGAATTATCTTTTATACTTGATCTTGAAGGGTTTTATTCACATGGACAACAAAGGGAATATAACCTCAAATGGTCCGTCTTGAACTTTTATCCATATCGACAGATAAACGAATGGTAACTTAGATTTTTTTTCTTTTTCTTTTATTAATTATGTGTTGGATAATAATTAATTATTAATATATTTCATACTTCGTAAATTTATTCACTCTACTTAAAAATAAAAAGGCAAAAGGAAAAACTCATCAATTTTCTTTATCTGTATTCATACAAGATAGAAAATGTGATAGTAATACCGGTCATCAAAATAGTATCTTTGCATGTTAAGTTAAAAATATTGTTCATGTATTTTTAAATCTGAATCCAGACATGCTCAGATGCATCAAGCAGAAAGAACAACCACATTGTAATTGCTTTGGTAGTGAACTCAATGATTAGTTTTTTTTTTTCTTTTCCTTTCAGATAAAGGATAATAATGACAGAAGAAATATGAACATCATAAAAATTTCACCTTCGATGCTGAAAAAAAGGAATGTGAACTATGATGAGAAAAATTCATGATCATATTAAGGCCATTATGATTCATGTCATCATCTACAAGCAAAAACTTGTCACAAATGCTCGTCTCTACCTGACTGAGTGGATTCAACACAGTATATGTTTTGGAGATACTGAGAGGCATGATTTCTGTACATGCTTTGGAGCCTTTAAAGTTCAACAAAGGAAGCAATTATGCTCTATAGCTTTCAGTTTGCTAACACTAGCAATGCTTTTGAACTCTTTTGGTAGCAATAATGTTATTGAGCTATTGCCAAATCTAATGTGTGCTTCACAGAAACACATTCCAGAAAATAATGTGATCACCAGCATATTTACTGTTACAGAATATTCCTTCCATTTCATAGCAAAAAGCATCAAGTTACAACATACATCTTACAGCAACCTACCATTTTCCGACATGAAGCAGCAACCTAACGTTTTCTAACATGAATTGGTGTAGTCGGGTGATCAATCCACTTAACTGTCACAAATACCTCACCAGACTCGACGTCACAAAGCCTCAGACGTACATCCATTATGATTTCACCATTCGCGTATGTAATAAAGCTATCGGCCAAGAGGCAATTATCGCTGTCTGGAGCCACCTTCCTCAACTTGGTCTCACCGGTGGTGAGCTGCAGTGCTCTTTTTAGCTTCAAAGCAGAAGTTAGGGGCTGAAGATTGAGGAAGGCATGGCCCATCTTGTCATCAAACTTAAATCTGTCCCGATCAAAAACTTCCTGAGGCAAGTACGAGGAAATGAATCGAATCAGTCTCATGAGCCATTGATTGACAAATAATAAGCAGAACAAAAACAAAATTTTGCTCTCTCCCTCTCTGTTATAATTGTTATGGAACATTGTGATAAATTACTTTGCTGCAGAAATTGTTAGATATCAGAGAACACACGTGTGATGAAAGGAAATCTCAATAACATAATTTCAACTTTTAGCTTCTTAATATCTAAGCTTGGAGCGTAGTATGTTGATGACTATATAAGTCATGGTTTCCATCACAGTTTACTAAAGTCGGGATGCAAGTTGAAGGACCAATCCAACTGTTCCCTAAATTGAAAAGCTCCTGCCGACAGTTTGTTCAGATAACATATCTGTGAATAATTGAAACTTTCTTAAACAGTTTCTTCAAACAACTTGCAGAAAACCATAAACGTCCTTGACTTCATTGAAGATAAGAAGGGACACATTTGACAATTGACAAAGTCAAAACCTGTAATCCATATGCGCGTATTTACATGTTTTCATGCTTTAAAAATAACTTGGAATCGGAAAGGGGTCAGTGGAAGCATACAATACTAAATATGAGAGAATAAGATCCATAGTGAACCCCACCACACTGACAGCAGCAAAAGAACATTTCAAACTGACAACAACAGAAATTAGAATCCTCCTTAAAAAGTTGCAGTATATTAGTTACTTTAAGAATCATTCAATCCTATGAGATAAACCATCTATTCAAAGTGTGGGTTTCTCTTTGGGTAGAAGAAAAGTTCAAACACAGGTCACTATCCAATATTCACTAAAGCATAAAATAATGATTTGCTATCTAAAGCAGGAAGAAATTAGTCTAATAACAAAGCATAAGTGATAGAAGTTGCCATCTGAGGAATAATTCTGTCAAACATCTAAATTTTGAACAAAAGACTTACCAGTTTTAATACACCAAGAGGCTCTTTTACTGAGAATGATAGCTCTTCATTCCAAACAGGATTGAGGCAAGAATTGATAACCTTTGTCTTTGCAGTCTGAAGAAACCAGAAAAAAGTGACTAAGCAAACATAGGAAGAATACAGAGATAAAAAGATCTCCAATCAAAACAATATGTTAATAAGAGGACCAAAGAAGGAGTTTATATCTGAGAAGCAATAGTTGATCAGGATTTTGTAAAAGGAGCAGTGGCACAAAATGATCAAAGGCATAAAAGATCATATGCATTTGACTCTCCAAAATCATTCTGATGCAAGATTCTTGATACACAGACTGGAGCATGTAATACAAGGGCAGCATGCACAAGAACACTTTCTGAGACAATCAGTACACATGGTCATAGGTGCCATCTAGATTATGCATATCACTTGCATTTCTGCCTTCACGATCACCTGATTGTTTTCCACAACAACTGATGGCAGCACTGAGCAAGTTATTTAACTAGAATAAACTGAACTAACCCCTTAAAAATAAGTGATGTCCCACCTAGAAGAAGGGAAAACTATATGTTGATTGCAAATAAGAATGAACAAGCAAAAGGAATGATGATTGACCACGAAAGATCAAGCATGATGGTCTTTTATATTGCACGAAGAGAAAATGACCATACTTCTTGCAACAATGGATCATGCTTCTAACGTGTTATCCTTATGTGAGTTAGACCAACAGCCAAGCAAGAGAGAGAATTAACACATTGCTTCTCCTCACAGTAAACTAAAACAACGAATATGAAAATCACCTGCTTTCCTAGTTTGACCACAACATAAGGATCACTGCTAGTGAAGTCCCTGATCGCCAAACTCTTTCCTTTAGAGACGATAACCTTTAGAACTCCAGCACCCTCCTCCATGTGTGCTCTCGGACAAAAAGATTTGATCTTTGATCGAATGTCTCGCCCTGTCGAACAAATCAAACCTACAAAAACGTTAGAGAACAACAGTATCTAATTAATTCTCTCTCAAGCAAAATTTTGAACAAAAGCACCAGTCGGCAAAAGCTTAAATGAACCACAAGGATACATAATTCCTAAGAAGATAAATAGATTCTCTAAGCTAGCGGATAAAGCTCTTCCCTTTTTCCCATTACATACGCTTAAAGGTTATATTTTTGCGAAAAAGAACTAGTTGCACAACAGAAAATTCACGTGACAGAGAAACCAGCCATCGGAAACTCAAGAAATCCAATAAATCAACCAGTTTTTTCCAAAAAGAATCCAATCAATCACTCAAAAATCATATTTTTCACTCGAAAACAAGGAGATCAGCTCTAAAGTAACTCTGATTTCGGCCGGTGAAAGATAAAAGACTACCTCGAAGAGATCAGCAGCGGCGGCACAGCGGAAGGCGACGCCGAAGGGAGCAAGAAGGGGAGAGAGCAGCAGAAGAGACGCGTGAGACGCGTGCGAGAGACGAGCGAGGGTTGGGTGGCGGATTTAAAGCGCCGAGCCAGCCGCGGTTCCCGTGCCGCGTTATGGCGTCGTGAAACACCAAATACGCGGCATCGTGATCCGTCGCAGGGGAGCGTATCGTGCGACCCACCGGACCGCAGTCTACAGTTTACCTCGCATTAAGCTTGTGCCAGAACTGCTCTTCTTACCCCCCGGACTGCGTACCTGCCTACCCTGCAATTAGTTCACGTGGGTCCCGCAAGCTATCAATGTGCGCAGGGTCGGGTAACAAGCGAACGCGTAGCAAGTTATTACTCGTTGAGTGGACTCGGTCATCGCCGTGGATTTGGAACGTTGA